CCCACGAGTTTGAGACCTGCCTGGGCAACTTGGTGAGACCTCATCTCTACAATAAATCAAAAAGTAGCCGGGCATGGTAGCGGGCACCTGTAGTTGCAGTTACTCGGAAGGTTGAGGTGGAAGGATCGCCAGAGCCCAGCAGGTCGAGGCTGTGGTGGCCGGGAGCGGCCACTGCACTCTAGTCTGGGCAATAGAGTGAAACTCCATTCAAAAAAAAAAAAAAATTAGGTGTGGTGGCTTGCTCCTGTAGTCCCAACTACTTGGAAGGCTGAGGTAGAAGGATTGCCTAGCCTAGGAGGTCAAGGTTGCAGTAGCTATGATTGCACCACTGCACTCCAGCTGGTGACAGAGTGAGACTCTGACTAAAAAAAAAAAAAAAATTGTGTGTGTGTGTGTGTGTGGCTATTGTAAATAGGATTGCCTTTTTTATTTCCTTTTCAGTTAGTTCATTATTGGTATATAGAAATGCTGCTGATTTTTGTAGGTTTATTTTGTATCTCCAATTTTACAGAACTTACTTATGAGATCTAAGAGTTTTTTGGTGAAGTCTTTAGGTCTTTCTTTCTTTTTTTTTTTTTTGAGTTGGTGTCTCACTCTGTCGCCCAGACTGGAGTGCAGTGGCCACTCCCGGCCACCGCTGCCTCGATCTGCTGGACTCCGGCGATCCTTCCACCTCAGCCTTCCGAATAGCCGGAATTACAGGCATGCGCTACCACGTCCGGCTGATTTTTTTTTGATTTATTGTAGAGATGAGGTCTCACCAAGTTGCCCAGGCGGGTCTCGAACCCACGGGCTCAGGCAATCCACTCACCTCAGCCTCCCAAAGGCGCGGGATTACAGGCTGAGCCACCGAGCCTGGCTCTTTCTTTCTTTTTAAGTCAGGGTCTCACTCTGTTGCCCAGGCAGGGGTGCGGTGGTACCATCACTACAGCCTCGAACTCCTGGGCTCAAATGATTCTCCCGCCTCAGCCTCCTGAGTAGCTGGGACTACAGGTATGCACCACCATACCCAGCTAGTTTTTCATTTTTTGTAGAGACGAGATCTTGCTATGCTGCTTAGTCTGGTCTCAAACTTCTGGGCTCAAGCTGTCCTCCTGCCTTGACCTCCCAAAGTTCAGGAGCTACTGCATCCGGTCAGGTTTTTCTATATAAGATCATGTCATCTGCAAACAGGGACAATTTGGCTTTCTCCTTTCCAGTTTGGATGTCCTTTATGTCTTTCTCTTGCCTATTTGCTCTGGCTAGGGCTTTCAGTACTATGCCAAATAAGAGTGGTGAGAGTGGACATTCTTGTCTTGTTTGTTATTGTGGCCACTCTACTTCTTCTGTCAGGGAGTTAGGGAGACTTCGGAGTGTGATTGAGCTGGACAGCCCCTCTGTGACTGCAGAGCAAGTGGCCATCATTGAGCAGAGCGTCAATGAAAAAATCAGAGATCGGCTTCCCGTGAATGTGCGAGAACTGAGCCTGGCTGATCCTGAGGTGGAGCAGGTGAGGGGAGGGCCAGAGTGACTTTTACTAGTGGCTCTCCAAGGGCCCCTCCTCAGATTTCAAACAGCCCTTCTCCTCTCCTCCATTCTAGGTGAGAGGCCGGGGTTTGCCAGACGATCATGCTGGGCCCATTCGTGTTGTTACCATCAAGGGTGTGGATTCCAACATGTGCTGTGGGACCCATGTGAGCAATCTCAGTGACCTTCAGGTAGGTGAGGAAGGCTGTTGAGTGGTAGAGAAAAGGGGGTCGGGGACCGGGGATCACATGGGGCTGGGAGTGGCAGGGGGGACAGTCGAGGAGTCCTAAGTGAAACTGTCCTTCATTGCTTCAGAGCTGAGGATAAGGTAGGTTTCTCCTGCCCTCATTTTCCAGGACCCTCTGTGGTTTATGCATATGTGTGTGTCACCCCCTTGCCTCATGTAGGTCATTAAGATTTTGGGCACTGAGAAGGGGAAGAAGAACAAAACCAACCTGATATTTCTGGCCGGGAACCGGGTGCTGAAGTGGATGGAGAGAAGTCATGGGACTGAAAAAGAACTGACTGCTCTGCTTAAGTACGCTCCCTTACTTGTCTCCTGTATCTCAGATCCTGGACCCCCTGGGACTCTCTGCTACCTGTAAGGTAGTCAGAATAAGCGCTTACCTCTGGGAGGTAAGATGCAACCATAAATGGTAGAGTGCTTTGGATAGTAAATCAGACCCATGAAAGATGGTTTAAGCCGGCTTGGTGGCTCAGCCTGTAATCCCGCACCTTTGGGAGGCTGAGGTGAGTGGATTGCCTGAGCCCGCAGGTTCGAGACCCGCCTGGGCAGGTGAGACCTCATCTCTACAATAAATCAAAAAATTAGCTGGGCGTGGTAGCGCACGCCTGTAATTCTGGCTACTCGGAGGGCTGAGGAGGAAGGATCGCCGGAGCCCAGCAGGTCGAGGCTGCGGTGGCCGGGAGTGGCCACTGCACTCCAGTCTGGGCGACAGAGTGAGACTCCAACTCAAAAAAAAAAAAAAAAAAAGGAAGATGGTTTATTCCTTTATGTCCTCTCCCCCTAAGGGACCTCCTCGAAATGTCCTTAGGTCCCCACTGGAGGAAGGTACCTATTGAGAAGAGTGACACTGATTTACACCCAAATACGGGAAGCAACTGGGAAGCTGGACAAGTCTCCACTGAGCTCTTTCTTGTAGGTGTGGAGCAGAGGGTCACGTGGAAGCAGTGAGAAAGCTCCAGAACTCCACCAAGCTCCTGCAGAAGGTGATTTATTCCACGGATGGTGGAGAGGACGTGGGCTCTGCCTAGAGTCAGTGCTACAGACTTGTCCCTCTGCCTGGGCAGATAAGTGGGTGTGCGGGGGGGCAAGATAGAGGGAAGCAGGAGCTGTCTCTTCCTGTCTATCGTTACCATCTCCATTTCAGAACAACCTTAATCTGCTCAGAGACCTGGCCGTGCACACTGCCCACAGCCTCAGGAACAGTCCGGACTGGGGTGGTGTGGTCGTATTGCACAGGTAAGCATTAGAAGCTGGAAGCAAGGCAGGGGCCATGTCAGGGTTAGGGCTCAGTGTCCCCCTGTGTATACAGAGCTATTTTCAAGTCTGAGTAGACCCTGAGAAATATATTATCTACCAGGTTAGATGTTAATGTCTTTTTTATAACCCTGTATCTTTTATTAGCACCTTGTCTCACCCCTTCTCCATCTAACAGATCTCCATGTAGTCTGGTAAATACTATTTAAGGGAGATGGAAGCAAACCCAGAGCTTGTTTATAAACTGCTGGGGCTGAGAAGTATATCTTGCTGGCTCTCAGCCAGCGTTCCTTCTCTTTGCTAAAGGATGTGGGACAAACAGGTGGCAGCGAGGCCAGGTCAAAAGGAGGGGTCGGGCTTCCTACAATGTCACAGCCACCACTCCAACCTGGATCTCATGTCTGTGTCCTTTGTTGTAGGAAGGAAGGTGATTCCGAGTTCATGAATATTATTGCCAATGAGATTGGGTCAGAGGTAAGAGGAGCATGAGACCCTCCACCTTGCCTGGGGTAGAGACCAAGGACATGTAAATGAGGGACGTTCGTTTAGCTGAAGTCCTCCGTGTTAACACATGAGGAGTAAGGAATATTATAGAAACTCATTCAGTACTGTTTTCTTAGAACTAGCGGTGAGCCAAGCTCCATTTTAGTGTTGAGCTACATCTGTGCTATTCCTCTTTCTGGGGCTGTGACATTTATCAGCTTTCAAGCTCTTTTTTTTCTTTTTTTGTGTCGGGTTCTCACTGTCTCCCAGACTAGAGTATAGCGACACGATCACAACTCACCGCAGCCTCCAAATCCTGGGGGCTCAGGTGATCCTTCCACCTCAGCCTCCCGCATAGCTGGGACTACAAGTGCATGCCACCACCATGCCTGGTTGATTTTTTTTTTTTTTTGCGTTGGAGTCTCTGTCGCCCAGACTGGAGTGCAGTGGCACGTTCCTGGCCACCACAGCCTCGGACCACCTGGACTCCGGCAATCTTTCAACCTCAGCTTTCCAAGTAGCGGGAACTACAGGTGCGCGCTACCATGCCCGGCTAATTTTTGATTTATTTAGAGACAAAGTCTCACCACGTTGCCTGGGCAGGTCTCGAACCTGCGGCCTCAGGCAATCCACTTGCCTCGGCCTCCCACAGTGCTGGGATTACAGGCTGAGTCACTGAGCCCGGCCACTTTTTTTTTTTTTAATTTTTATTTTTAAATATGTGGTAAAGTCAGGGTTAGGTATACAAATGTTCATTATGATTTTTTTTTTGAAGTCGGAGTCTTACTCTGTTGCCCAGGCTCGCGTGCAGTGGCACGTTCCTGGCCACCACAGCCTCGGACCAGCTGGACTCCGGCAATCTTTCAACCTCAGCTTTCCAAGTAGCGGGAACTACAGGTGCGCGCTACCATGCCCGGCTAATTTTTGATTTATTTAGAGACAAAGTCTCACCACGTTGCCTGGGCAGGTCTCGAACCTGCGGCCTCAGGCAATCCACTTGCCTCGGCCTCCCACAGTGCTGGGATTACAGGCTGAGTCACTGAGCCCGGCCAGTTTTTTTTTTTTTTAATTTTTATTTTTAAATATGTGGTAAAGTCAGGGTTAGGTATACAAATGTTCATTATGATTTTTTTTTTGAAGTCGGAGTCTTACTCTGTTGCCCAGGCTCGCGTGCAGTGGCACGTTCCTGGCCACCACAGCCTCGGACCAGCTGGACTCCGGCAATCTTTCAACCTCAGCTTTCCAAGTAGCGGGAACTACAGGTGCGCGCTACCATGCCCGGCTAATTTTTGATTTATTTAGAGACAAAGTCTCACCACGTTGCCTGGGCAGGTCTCGAACCTGCGGCCTCAGGCAATCCACTTGCCTCGGCCTCCCACAGTGCTGGGATTACAGGCTGAGTCACTGAGCCCGGCCAGTTTTTTTTTTTTTTAATTTTTATTTTTAAATATGTGGTAAAGTCAGGGTTAGGTATACAAATGTTCATTATGATTTTTTTTTTTTGAAGTCGGAGTCTTACTCTGTTGCCCAGGCTCGAGTGCAGTGGCACGGTCATGGCCACTGCAGCCTTGACCTGCTGGGCTCAGGTGATCCTTCCACCTCAGCCTTCCAAGTAGCTGGAACTACAGGTGCGCACTACCATACCTGGCTAATTTTTTGATTTATTATAGAGATGAGGTCTCGCCAGGTTGCCCAAACTAGTCTTAAGCCCCTGGGCTCAGACAGTCTTCTCGTCTCTGCCTCCCAAAGTGCTGGGATTACAGGCTTGAGCCACTGCACCTGGCTGATTTTTTTTTTTTTTTTTTTTT